TAAAGGGCGGGGGGAGGGGGAGAGGGGCGTGGGGAGAGGGGCGTGTGTGGGTGAATTGGAGGGCTCGATGACCAGTTGAGGTGTGCTAACTCGCAAAATACTGTAAGGTGATTTTAGTTGCTTTTTAACAAACTGATTGATTTTTAGAAGAAGCGTCTAGGGGAGCTCGAGTAATTTTTGAAGATCCCTCTCCCCCTTCCTCAGCAATTTCAATTGGGCATAAATATATTATAAAATATGATCTGATGATAATGAAGCTCTTTCTATTTTCTTCTCCCTATAATTATCCTTCATTGGGGCACTCTCTTCATGATAGAGTCATCCTACCTGGAATGTTCATTGCCTTCCCAATGCGGCCTGTAGTTTGGAGTTCCTCCGGTTCCCTGACATCAACTATTTGACCTTTCTTTGCATTCACCAGGTTCTCGAGTTCCTCAAATGGCACTTCTGATGAATCAGGTGATTGTGATGTACAATAGCATCTGGAAATCGTCAAATTTCCTATAAGTATAATGCCATGAAAAATATTCTGGTAACATTAAGGTAAAAGTAAACAGTAAGTGTGAGTTTTGTCTAGGGCACATGTTGCTGTACCAGATCCAAAAAAAATTTTTGGGTGCAAGTAGTTCTTAAAACGGGGCTCTTTTCTGTTATTAATTACATGAACCTTGAAGCAAATAGAACTACAGTAACAACAAAAAATTCTTCTAAAAAAAGAAAAAAATCATACTGTACTGCCTAAACAGAGATTTGAAGTGATTTGACTAATTTGCAAATGAGTTTTGAAAACTCTTCTCCCTAGAAGGAATTTTGGTGCAGGTTTAATATGAGAATTTAAACTTATACCTGCACTACACTATCTCTCTGACTACACATAATTTTTGTTTAATTGCCAAAGTTATATGTAAGGTTTTGGTCCTTGAATGTGAAAGATTGCAGAGAAGCCAGAAGTGTCAATGCTTTTTTTATTTTTTATTTATAAGTTCATCAAAGTCAGGGGCCTGTGCAGCCAGGTTAAAATATGAGGGGGTTTACTGCATAAATATATTGTTTATTAAAATTAAGTCAAACCCTAATACTCTGCGTGGAAATCAGCCCTTATTTTCCAAAATGCCCAAATTTTTGCGTGGAGGATATATTCCCCATGTAGGCCTTACTTTATAGTCTGGCAACATACAACTTTTCAAGTACCAATTTATAATATTATTTATTAAAATAATAGCATATTATAGGCTTATGTCTATTTTCACACACCACCGCATAATGGGCCTGCCAGTATTATTTATATATCAACTGTAAATGCTTGATTAAGCACCGCTCTCGAATAAGCGCCACACCAAACCTGAGTAGTATTTATATATCTACTGTAAATGCTTGAATAAGCACCGCTCTCGAATAAGCGCCGCACCAAACCTGACGTTTTTTACTAAGTGCCGCTCTCGAATCACAGCGGCACTTTAATATTACCCCGTGTGTAATTAAAAACTTTGAGAAAAATGGTTGTAAGCAATACAATGCATTGTTTTAAAATGACTAAATAACACAATGAGGACATAAGCATTTCTTTAAACGTTTATTTACGATGACAGGAACTTTGACAGGCCTACCAAACTACGGGAATACGTGAGATAATAGGTAATATGGGAACAGGCATGGTAGTGCCATACCAATATCTTTTTATAAGCGTCGTTCTCAAATAAGAGCAGCACTGAAACCTTCAAAAATTACGGTAATTACTGTAAATTACAAAGAAAATCAAGTTTATAAATAAATTTATTTCAAAACTTACACACTTAAAGATAGTCGAAGCCTCATTAAATTTATTTAATTTAATGATGAAGAAGTTCATAATACGAGGCTAGACCTCTGTAGTGAAGCAGACTATACTTAGCCTACCTAATCCATAAAGCCTGCTGAGCCTTTCTACCTTACACAGGGCAGGCCAACTTTCTGTGGCCTCGAGTTGCAGTGTCGATGATGACGACAGAAGCCTAGGCCAAGCACTACCACAACTTCTAGGCCTACTTAGTAAACCCACAAAACCAGTCTTGTTAGAAAGCTGTTGACATGTCAACCTCCAGACTGCTTTCCCAATCATACTTATGTACAGTAGGCCTAAGTGTATTTTTGTGGAAAAATTAGGCCTAGGCTAGCCAGTCTCTGTTCTCTACCTCCTCTCCTCACAACAAATACGCCCTCTCTAGTAAATAATACCGGAAGCCCTAGCTCAATATCCAGGCACGCGATCCTAACCCGTATGTGTGCGTGTGGGTGTGTGGGGGGGGGGGGGGGGGGGGGGGGGGGGGGGGGGGGGGGGGGGGGGGGGGGGGGGTGTGCGTGCGTGCGTGTGTGGCGGCATCCAGGCTTATTTTTTGGTAATCTTTGGAGACATTTTTTTGGAACTGTAATTTAATTGTTTTTTATGACTTTTTTAGCGAACCCGCCGCACACCATTAATTCATGATGATTTCGATTAAAAATAAAATCTTATTTTTGGCCAATTAGCCAAAAAAAAAAAAAGCTGAAAATTTAAGATAAAAAGGTTTTCTTTATTTCTATAACGCACGTCACTACCTTGAAATCTCCAAAAATAAAATATGTATATTTATTCCAAATTATTTAAACTTAAATAATTTAATCATCCATTACTACACTGTTTACATTCAACAATAAATTATAATTTTTATTTTTTCTTCCATCTACATGTTTTTGGCAATACCATTTGCTAATAAGAAAACAAAATTTTATTTTTATCTTTTTCCATCCGTGATCTTTAAAATAAGTTCGCAAAACAAGGCATAAAAAAGTCTCACCAAATGAAAAGAAAATATTAAATACATAATCCAGGATATAATCATGGAGGAAAGATACAGTAATCATGTTTGAATTTGAATTTCATTTTTAATGAATTATAATTTAATTGATATATTCACTTACGTATAGTCTGTCTCTTCATCACAAATTTATCTTCATTTAGGAGAGGAATAAATGAGATTCATAACATTACAAATAAACTCAGTTTAAATAATCCATTTTTATAACTATATTTAAAAACCAACTAAATCATTAAACTTGTAAACTTTAGGCTTGAATAATTCAATTCTATGTATAATTTTCTATTTAGTTTTCTATTAAAACTTTCTACAGTATATTACCCCTGCCAACTCTCACACGTTCCTAAATTTCGGCATTCCATATTACTTCTTTGCACCAATGGCTTTCCATACTATACTTTTTTTCTGGGTTCTAATAAACACATTCCACAAGGTGTTGCTTTCCTATTACACAGCGTCTCTCGTGTTGCATCTTTACAACTGATACCCACTATACGGTATGTCACATGACCAACCTAGCAGAATGTGTCTTTACCCATCCAAATTCAACAACATAACTGAAAACCAGACACTGGTGGCAATCTCTGAAAGGTCTATAAATTATAGAATTGTGGCAAGTCTATCACGCATAATGCGCCAGACCTACTATGTATTATCTCTCGCATAATAAAAATGTTTATAAAAGATAAAAATGTATAGGCCTGAAAATAATGTGTCACGGTATACAGCTAATACTATGTTGTTCACAATGTCTAGTTCACTGCATTGGTTTAGTTAGCCTGTACACCAGGAGAAACTTCCCTACTGTTTTCACTCAGGGACAAAAGCTATGATGCACAGAAAATAACAAAGTCAAGCTCTACATATACTTTACAACATTTTTTCAGTGCTCCAATAGAAACACAGAAGTAGGATTGCATCCAGTCTCTATAGACTGGTGGTAGCCTTGGTGTGTGCACCAAACCGTGGACATCCATTTGAAAACTTTGGTACCCAGCCAAATTCCATTCACTGCTGAAGGGCTAAAGTGCAAGTTTTAAAATGTGCACCCTCTTTCCGAAGAGTCACTGTTGGTCCTGTGAGCAACATAGCTCATGTCCACATTAAAGAATACACTAAATTCTTCAGGAAGAAGTAACACACTGTCCTCACCATCAGGACCAACAAGTATTATCATGGTCACACTGAGTAAGTCCACTCATATGGACCTGCATGGTTCTGCGCGCACACACCAGCTTAGCTAACTAACCCATACTGCCCTGTAATTGTTTTTTTTTTCTTCTAATAATAGTTAGGATATTCATTTAGCTTTTAGCTTTGGTTGTGTAATTCTTGATTCCTTGTTGGCATTCTTAGCATGTTCTTTAAGGAGATCCATTACTTCACAATCATAGTCAGCTGGTGTCTCTAAATTACCTGAGGGAATAAAAATTAATTATGTTTTCATATATAGTAAAACGTCCATTTTACATACCCCTTGGTACCAAGGGGTGTTCGTAAATCAAAAAATTCGTAATCAGGATCAAAGACCATTCGTAAAATCGATGTTCGTAAAATGGATGTTTTACTGTACAGTAAATTTTATTTACCGTATTATTTAAATTATGAATTATAAAAAACAACGCTGTTGAATATAACTGGACAACCACATTGATGCAAATTGTATGTTCTTTTTATAGTGGTGTTACTTTTCTAAATTATAGGCAAACACATGCTCAAAGAAAGAAAATGTGAGAGGGCAGCAGGGAGGGGGTGTCTCAGGAATTCCTTGACATTTAGCACAAGGTTTGTGAAAAATTATGTCTTTGTATGAATCAGGTATGTTGCTTGTTACAAGGTTTAAGTGAAATTAATCATGAGGAAAAAAATGGGGATTTACATGATTTGAACGCTGGATAAAGGTAATAGCTGTACTAACTGTCCTCACCTGTTACCCAATAATAGATATCCCAGTCATTAGATGGCTTATTTATTAGTACGTCATACTGATGAAGCTGTTTGCTTGTCATGGTAGCTAAGTACTGGTCTGCAAATGAGCTGCAAGTAAAAAAGCATCATAAAGATGATTTTAGCAGGTTCTACATTCATTGTGGGACATGGGCAGTCTGTATACGCTCCATTTTTGTGTAACCTGGGCAGAATAATACTTTGAGACCTAGGCAGGCCTATATTCATTGTGGACCTTGGCAGGCTCAATAATATCTGAGACAAGGCTCAATACTTTGTAAGATGCTATATTCATTGTGGACCTCGGCAGGCTCGATATTTTGTGAGACCTGGGCAAGCTACATCCATTTTGAGAACTGGGCAGGCTACATACTTTGTGAAACCTGGGCAGGCCTTACCTTAATTGTGGGACTCGTATCCCTATTGTGAGACCATGTTGCTTATCTACTTTCAGAAATGGACAGGTCATTGTTATTGCAGGACATGAACAACCTGTTGTGGGACCTAGGCAAGCTTTTTATTTTATTGTGAAAACTTGGCATGGCTATTTACCGTGGATCTGGCAAGGATATATTATTTGGATAGGGATATTGTATATTTCAGAGTAGAATTTTAAGTCCTCCACCTCACCTTAGAAGAAGACCATTTTCCAACATTCCTCTCTTCCGGCTTTGATATAACAATCTTGCTCTGGTTAAGTTCTCATCTTCATTTTCAGGTTTCTTCCATTCTGGAATAGAAGGTTCCCCTAAAGATGTCTGGTTGGAAACCTGTTTAGAATTCACAACAGCTGACACCTAAAAATTACAAGAAATTTAACTGAAAATTAAACTGTTATTCATTTGCTTTCTTTTGATATAAATTAATTATCAATATTATAAATACTACTACTGGCCTTAGCTGCTCAGGCCTTGGCCTAGGCCAGACTGTATAGTAAGTAAAACGTCCATTTTACGTACCCCTTTGTACCAAGGGGTGTTCGTAAATTGAAATTCGTAAAATCGGGTGTCAGTTTCCAATACCTAACTATTGCCTGCCACTGAGCGGCGATAGGCTGACGGCGGCCAGGCGTAGCACGAACCGACAGTGCAGCAGCGTGGTCTGTCGCACATAGAGCCTAGCTGAATTTACCTTCGATAAAAACCAAATTATTTTAATCACTGGCATTCTTATTCTTATGTTTTATGGACCTATCTATCAACGCTTAATGATATTGTGCCAAATGCAATTAGAAAACGGAGGGGTGAACTAAGTAAGAGGTCACTGAGAAATGGGGGAAAAATTGACGAATATTTTTGCCGTACAGAACGATATAAGAAGTCAACCTTCCCATCAATTTGTAAACTGTTAAATAAGTGAGAGGCTGCCTTTTATTGCCA